CCAACTTTCAGCTTGCCTTATAGAAATATGGGCTGACGTTTCTCGATCTAATGTTTCAAACAATTTGTCTGATATTATTAACTGCTTCAGAGTTTCAAAATCAGACACTTTCCTCAATTTTAAGTAATATTCGAAATTTGTGGTTAATCGCGACACGAACTGCACATGTACACTCATTTAGGCGTTGAGCCTTTTTAAAATTTTCTAAAACAATTTGTGGTGTAGGTTCGAATTCTTTTAGAATAATAGCTTTTACTTTTTCATAGTCACTTAGCTCCTCATCTCTAATATACACGATAATGTTCGAAGCCCGTTCCCCTAACAAGTTTAACAATATTTCCGCTTTAGATTTCTCAGGCACATTTTTTGTCGCGAAAGCTCTTTCTAAAGACGAGAAAAAAATAACTCCAGTTTTCAGGTTTACTCGGAACCTTCAATGTTAGTGTTCTTATACTTTTAATAAGGAGAATCTAAGGAAGTTCGGAACTTTCTCCTTTATTTTCGTTTTGATCGTTATAACACTTTTGGTTTCAGCTCGCAAGTCGAGCAATTTCCAGTTTTCTGTTTACATCTTCTCCTAATTTAACTTGTTTCTAACTGTAATACTTTAGCTTCTTCAGATTTACGATGCTCTACTATGGAATTACCCAACTCTATTACCGAATTTGGATCGGATTTAAAAGCATCACTACTTTTAATCGCTAAATTTAAATCTGTAACAGTTATCTTTTCACTTAATTCTATATTCAGTTCTAAAGCCAATAGCTTTAAATCCTCTTTAAGTGCACCTTTTATCAACATTGTACTATTAATGAAATAACACAAGATAATAAGTAATTCTTCTCAATTACTTAAATACAGTAACACAGTATATAAATTTTCTCAAAACTCTTACACGGTATCTCAAAATAACAAAATGGCACTTTATTCTTAAATCGAAACTGCTGACTTACTTGTAAATAATTCTTAATCCGTAGATCTCTGGCCCATGACGGACCACGATGTTTTGCACAGGCACTACACTATAATTCAATAAACTCAGGAACAATGGACTGTATTATATCTCGCTTTAATTCTCATTAATTTACATAGTTCATGGCCACTCGAAGCCACGAATTCTCTCACACGCTCTTCGCTCACAATCTCATGTCACAAACTCCAAGAGCTCAAGACGCATGCGCCGACGCTAGTTATGAAATGCGCGCGCAGGCGCAACAGTGACAAATTCAAGCTTTCAACTTTTCAACACCAACTCTCTTGTATAATATTCAGTTCAAGGCCGACGCTAAAGTTGCCAATAGAGAGAGTGAAACATTACATGACAAGGCAATGGGCAAGCCAAAATGTGTAATTTTAACTTTATTGTAAAACCTATTGCCACTAAATCTACCTAAATTGTATGATAAGCAAACATAATGGTGAAATGAAACAGAAAAGAAAGAATTTGCATTGTTGGCCTTTATGTTTAAACTTTGCCACAACCTAATCTCAAATGACTCTTCCTAAAATATTATTGTCTCTACCAACAGTCTTTAAGCCTTTGAGGATGTTTGTTGTCTTCCTAGTAATGGGAGGGAGACTATATGTTGCATATAATGTTTCATTACTGCTATTGTAACATTGATTGATATTGTACCTTAAGTTTTCAACTCACCCAAATTAATTTACCTTAAGTTTTCAACTCACCCAATTTAAATTAGTCTAAACAGTGTGTGCTTATTATCATAACTCTTATGGCTAAATCAACTGTGTTGCCTAGCACACAAAATGCTGTACCATGCAAATTTCTGTCGAAATGCACATGTAAAAACTTCTCAAATGATTGTGTGTGCAAGCATATTAGATGAGCACATAGGATATTTAAGTATCCAAACAATATGCAAGGCCATCAGTTTGGTGGCATTGTAGCTTAATATGCAAGTTTTCCAGCTGTTTCTGAGTGTGGTCAATGAAGACAAGGTTGACTTTATTTTACCTTTAAGACATTATTTTACCGAGTATCAGTAAATGGAAGAGTTCATATGGAGTATTTATGTCAGGCTTTCATATAGCTAGTTATCCTTGCACTCTGTAGCAGAAGAAACACAGATTGATGACACTATTCTTGCTCATTTTTTAATTTTCTCCTTGATTCATTGTCGGATTTGTCAACAATTAATTCATAAAAGAAACAGGCAGCACCATAGGGGGTCTGGTGCAAAAAGACAGACATCAGAGTGAACAAATTACTTCATTGTGTTGCACTGAACTGTGTTTTGTGTAAATCTGAGTTGTCCATGTATAGATATTTCTGGAAGTCAAGTTTTCATTTCCCACCCTATAGGATTAATTGTTTATTTTGATGGTGTTTAATGTAAATTATAGTTATAACATCTGTATTGTACATAGGAAATATATTTAAAATTCTATATTTGGAGAAGAAAATTATTATTTATTGATGTAAAAGAAAGGAAAAGTTGCATTAAAGTATGTACCATGCGAACATTTATATTTATATACATTTATCTGTAGCAACTTACAGAGAAAGAATTAAAGCTGATTTGAAGGTTTTCAAGTATTGCTAACAAAAAGGGAAATTTTCCAATTAATGGAATTTGTAAAGAAATGTGGAGAAGTAGTAATAAATGAAGATATTATAACAGAAGTTTTACATTACAATGACATAACTCCAATAATCAACTAATGGACAGCAAAATCTGTGGTATGGTTCTAATTCTAAAAAATGTTGCTACCAATACAGAAGAAAGTGAGAGGTTATTGAGAAGCAAAAAATTTTATTGATAATTTAGTAGAAATTCTCAACACAGGAATTGAAGAACTTGAACAGTTGAGCTTTGCAACCGAACAAGAAATTATGTCTGTCTGTAGAATTAAAGAGAAAACATTAGCACAAAAAACAAAGCAAATAAACTTATACTGAAAGAAATGTTTGATACAGCAAACAAATGATGTTCAGCTTTTTGCTTTTTTTTTTTTCCAATAAATTTTGATTCCATTAAGGTCGTAAATGCTTTATTATTACAGAAATCACTTTGCATATTTTTTACTTTATAATTTCTACATATCATCTTACTAGGTTTAAACTTATAATGTAATATCTGAAAAAATCCCAAATCCAGAATCTCCAGAGTCCTGATGATTCCGATCTTTCACTTAGTATCTGTTTATTTAATTTATTAATATTTCTTATTTTTATTTATCTTTTTTTGAAATCTTTCCAATTTGTTTGCTTGTAGCTCGTGTAATCTTGAAAGAAAAACTTTTATTAAATATATATTTGAAATTGGCATTAAGTGCTTTGTAGGAGAATGTATTAAATAATGAATTTTTCCCTTGTTGTCTTTCTTAAAGATTCTGGTAATTTAATTTTAGGGGGAAAAAAAAAAAAAAACAAGAAAATTCTGTTGAATCGCCTGAACATGATTTTTTTTTTTTTTTTCCCCGTGTCCTTTTTACTGTTTTTCCAACTCTTGAAAAATACCCTTTTTAAAAGAAGTCAGATTTATTCATTAAGAAGTTATTCACGTGCTTTTTGACAGTCTCCAAAGAAGTGAATTTGAAGCCCTTTTGAGAATTTTATAGTGTCCTGAAGAAGTGAAAATCCAAGGGGGCAGACTCCAGTGAAGTGAAAATCCAAGGTGAATACTGGGCGTGACACAAAACATTCCAGCTATACTCTATAAGTCTTTGTCTGGCACTCGTCGAAATGGGAGTCAAGCACTGTCATTATGGAAGACAACAGCTCAATGATTAGTCAGTTCTATGTGCTTTACTTCAATTTCTACTTTTAAAACTGCCATTTGGGAACAGCATTCTTTTGAATTTATTGTCTAATTTGGTGTAACAATTTATAATGACTTATATTTCTAGTCTTTGTAAGGTGATGATGTACTGTACTTTTCAGAATATTTAGTCTGTCTGATTGTTACTAAACTGTGTAATAGGATTTTCAGAAATGGCTTCTTTTAATAGGTCAGGGTTGTCACGCTAACTGGAAAACGGGGAAAAATCAGAGAATTTGAAAATTGACCAAAAAAGTCAAAAAATTTAAATATTTTAGTCAAAATCTGGAGAAGTTGGGGAATTTCATAGTGTGATCTCCAAAAAACTGTTTTCGCACCAATGGTGTATGCGATCGCTTTCTTGGCGAAACATGTATCGTGTGAGCATCATTTGGACAACTGGTGTAAAGCCAGTTTTCACATTGCCAATCAGATGGTCTTTTAGAAAGGCAAAGAAAGTTTCTAGCATCTTTGGTTTCCAGTAACCTCGAGAATCCACAGAGTCGCATGTTCAGTGCATGTTGAATGAAAGTAAATTCCTCACATACTTGTATTAAAACAAAATCTTTTAAAACATTTTTTTTCTTTCTTAAATACCTTATTTGTCATTTTGCAGTGAAATAAAAAAAAATTAAAATCATTCGTTTAAGGTAACCATTTAATGTACCTACCTATATTCATCAAAATACCATTGCATTTTGCAATTCAGTTTTTAATCCATAAGTAATTAACATATCATTTAATAGGTCGTCATCCTTCTAAATGTATTTATTATTAGTTAATAATACTTTCATATTCCAGGCAATTTTCTTTAGCATACTTGTGAAACTAATTATAGCAGTAATATGACATACTATTGTCCATTTGCAACACAAGTTTTACAAGCAGGCTGACTAGCATTTTTTCCCCCTTTTTAAAATAAAATAACCTAATGTGTTGAAAATGAACTTTTGGTTCTTCATTCTTAGCACTGCATTGAAAAGAAAAAAAATTATACTGCAGCAACTGCTGGAATTATGCAACTTGAGCAAAAAAGTCCATATTTGTATATCTGCTTCAGTCAAGATCATTCCTTATAAACAGTAACAAAATAATTAGAAATAAATATGGTTCAATTTGAAAAAATGCAGAACTTTTGGGTGACTCTATACTTAAAATAGGAAAAAAATAGAGAGATTGTGTTTTGATTATTTTTGAATTTGATATGCTTTTTTTTAGCAACAGAATATCCATTGAGGCCACCATCTGTTAGCACTTTGACATCAACTAGTTCATCTATTACCAGCTCAATACCAGAATCTGACAGTAAGTTTTTTTTTCACAAATTTTGATAATTCATGTAACAAATGTATAAACAAATTAAATAATGAATCTTTATTGTTTTAGGGCCATTCCAAGAAAATGCTTTAACAGTAGAATCAGACATGCTGTCCATTGTTAAAGCTATGACAAATCCTGAATCTGGTTTGGAAGTAAAAGATAGATTGTGGCTGAAACTTCTAATACCAAATTCTTTCATAGGTATAAATTGCCGAATTTTATTTCAGATCCATAAAATTGTAATAATTATGCTGTTTTTATAAACTTAGCTTTAAAATATTAAAATGAATAAACATATTTTACTTTTGATTTTAGGAGCGGATGTTGTAGACTGGCTTTTCAATCATGTGCAAGGTTTCCAAGATAGGAAGGATGCCAAAAAATATGCAACTTTGCTACTGAAGGCTGGATATATACGTCACACTGTAAATAAAATTACTTTCTCAGAGCAATGTTACTATGCCTTTGGAGATCTCACTTCAAGTAAGCTTACACTTTTTAATCTAATTTTATTAATTACTGAAATTGTTCTGAAGCAGATATTCCAAAATTTGATAGTTATTCAAAGCATATTTATGCAATAGTGAAATGGAAGCTTTGAATCAGGCTTGAGTTTATAAGATCTTGATCCAGTTTTAAAATATGGTAGCATTAAAAAAAATTGGCATTGCTTTTAATTTATTATATATTTAATTTTTTTATCTATTATAATTATGTAATATATTATTATTAATGCTAAATTTTGCCTTTTAGTGTTATGAAAAAAATTAATTTGGGTCCTACGAACCTTTAAATAACATTAATTTTTTAAATACTTTTTAAATATGCAATCACTTATGAAAGATTAATGGTTTTATGAGAAACTGTGCTTAATATTTTCATTTAAAATAAAGAAGATAGCAAGACTCATGATATAATTCCAGGTACATAAAAAAATCTTATGTAAAACAAGGTATCTGAATTGAGCTCTTAAGCCATGCCAGTTAAATGCTAAATATTTACCAGTTTTTAGCTATATATGCAATAATTATGAAAGGAACAATGATGAATCTTACAGACTCATGAGAATTAGTCTTTCAATTTAATTTTATATAGTATCTTCATATAAAGAAGAACACTCTGAATTCCAAACTATTTTCATCTTCCGTGTGGATAATTAAAGAACATGACGATCAATGAAATTTAAAGCAATTTTAATACCTAGGAGACATAACTTATTATTTGTTTTATCAGTAAAATCCCATCCATTTCTAAGCTTCAAAACATGAAAGCACTATGCAATTGATGCAAAGATTTTCTTGTAAAATGAGCATTATAACAATTCTACTGCATTTGTTACTATATTCTGTACTAGACAACAAAAATGAAATTTAATAATGTAATTTTTAAGGGGAGGGTATTTAAGACTGTTAAATGCTATTCCTGGTTTTTTAGCTGTGTGCTTCATATAAGCAAAACAGAACGTGTGGCAGTTATGTTGTACTGTTTATGCTATTAAAACATTAGGGACTTCTATGTTTTGTTTTTTTAATGCTAATGTGTTTCTGTAACATTAACAAAAGAAAGCATTTCATATTTTTTTTCAGCAAAACAGTTGCCTATATAATATAATTATTTTTAACATTATATTTAGTAAAATATCCCTTATCATAAAAGTCATGTATTAAATTTACATTGTAACACTTTTATACATCTTATTTTTGTGTTAAACTGCATCTTCTTGATGGATAATTTGATTTTCTCACATGACAAATCAAGAAGATAGAGCATCTAACAGCATGTTTTATCATATTTTCCTTTGCCATGATCATATGAAAGCTTTTTTTCTTTACTTCCTGCTATGAGTATGTGTAAACAGCTCAATGTTATCAGCCACAAAGAATAAATAAATGCAGTTCAAAAGTCCTGTGAAGTTATTCATAAAATATGAAGAGACTGATATTCCTATTATTGGTCTTGATATATATATTGTTACGAAATGTACAGCGCGGTAAGATAGCTTCCCCGCAAAGCAGGTTTAGGGTTGCCACATTTGGTGAGAAATTGCCCATTTGGCGACAAAATTGGCGATATCCCATGGACGGATGGAGAACCTTCTGGAACGAATTCTTACTGGTTTAGCCCAGAATGTTCTCGAACACAAGCCGAAAGCTATATAAGCTATATAAACCCTGCAGGTCTGTAGTCAGTGAGTGTGTGTTAGTGAGTGCTTCATCGAGAGGACGAGTGTGTGTGCCTCGTCTAGAGTGCGAGTTAGTTTCGAGTTGGTGTCTCGTCTAGCGAGTCAATCCCTGCGGAGTCGATCGAGTTGACAGCCAGCCAGTGAGTGCCGAGTAGGTCGTCGAGTGCATCGAAAGAGTTTCGTAGTGTATCATGGTTAGTGCATCGTTGAGAGAGCGTGTTGAGCTCTGGGAACGACTGAACCGAAGAGTCGCGAGCTGTGCTCTGTGTGTCGTCGAGTCATTGCGAGTTGTAGCGTGGAAAGTCTCGAGAGTACGTGGAGTTCCGAGAACGACCAAGCAGAGTCAGGAGCTGTACTCTAGTGCTTTGCCGTGAAGCTGTCTCCACCGTGATAGCCTGATAACCTGGAGACTGTGTCGCTGATTGTGTCAGCATGTATATAGTAGTTCATCGATGACTGTAAACATGTTTTGGAGCTGTCCTGACAATACTGGCCAATAAAGTGGGTTTCGATACTTCATCAAGTAGTGTCATAGTTATTCACTCCAAATCCACATACGTGAAGGAAGAAAATAACGTAACAATATTTTGATGAAGGATTTGAAATCGTTGAAAACCTTTGTTTTTGTAAGCAAGGCCTCATTACTGCTTAGGCTTACAAAGCTATAATGTATAATTATATATTATTTTCCATGATCATTATTAATATTATAATGCTGATCTTCCCCCCTCTCAAATGTATTGGTTATTATGTGTGTCATTAATCATTTACAAAGGTTTCACCATGTTATATCTTGTAATTTATGAGCAATTGTTACAATTTATATTATCATTATACGTTTAATTATTGTGTATATAGTGTTCATCTGTTTATTTATTTCTATTTCATTAGATATTGCTGCTTTGAAACTAAATGAAGATGATTCTGTCAGTGAAGCTGACAGGGACACATTAGGACCTTTGCCACCTCCTTCTGGCCCATCTCCATGGGGAAATCAATTGCCTTACTCTGGTAGCTATATCCCTCAGAACACTGGGTTTTTGCCTTTGCCATTTAATTATACTAATGACAACAACAGTACCTGCAAAAACTTTGTACGTGATGGAAGTGTTCACAGTGGATCAGGTAACTAACAGCGTGATTTTTACATTAACTTGTAGTATTACTATTTTATAGAGCCTCCAGAAATATTTTTTGCACACCCTAGATTAGCCTTCATTTGAAGGATATACATATTATGTATCTGAGAATTTTCGGCATTTTAGTACCAGTTTTTTAATTTATAAATTATAGTCTTTGTATATGACTTCGTGGTTACTGGTGAAAGGGAAATTTAGCAGAAAGTTAATATCACTACTACTTATGAAAATTCTTGCTCTAAATATAGTTTCTTAAAAATGACTGTAAAATACTGTATTTAATTTATATTAACACATGTAAGGATATGTTTTTTAAAGCCTATTTATGCATTGAGGTCCAAAATTACCTTCATATGCAGAAAAATTGTAATTTTTCAAAAATTTGTAAATTACATTTTTAGACAAATGAAGGTGCAAGTCCCCTCTTCCCGTGATTTAGAGTTGACTTCTGTTTTTTGTAATTAGATCAGTCAGAGCACTGAATCCTCATTTCCACAAGGTAGGAGGCAGGCAAGGCAATTAAAAATTTTTTGACGATAGTATACAATCCTGGATAGAGGTGAGGGGTGACGTAGTTGCGACCAAAATTCTACTTCCACAGAGTGAGCTTATGAAGGCAGAAGTAAAAGATTTTTTTGTGATCAAATTGAGCTCTTTGTCTTGAAGCTAAAAATTAATTCCACTTAATTTTGCAAATAAATTGGTCATGTAAACAACATCAGTGTTGAATTGTAGCAATTTATCTTTCAGAGCTAAATCTTTACTCATGTACAGAGTCAAAGATTTCAAAGCCTATTGAGGCAGGCACCTTTGGAGAACCAACAAACCTCGGTTTGTAGAAACAAACGATTGAATTCCGTATCCTTGTCATTACCCAGCTGTTCAAATAATCGTTCATTGAGAGCATTATTGTAAATTTTGTTTACAGCAGAGATCACATATCGTAATGACTGATGTAAACGGTCGCTGAGACTTTCTGCAACTAAATGCTGTCTATGAGTCATGCAGTAATCAGCTAAAATGCTTGGTAGCTCTTTCTTCAAAAGGACAATGAACCCATGATGACGACCCATTTGTGCATGAGTTCCATTGGTGGCAATAGACATAATATTTGCAAAAGGAATACTTTTCTCTCTAAAATAATCCTTGACAGTATTTTAAATAGTACCTTTAGTATCTGCAATCAGGTTTTTTGCAAAAAGCATCTCTTGAATAATTTTTCCTTTCTTTAAAAACCGGACATATGCTAACAGTAAAGCCTCATTAGTACTTGGTAAGGTTGATTCATCATCCTGAAAAGAAAATTCGGTGGGTATCAAAAGATTGCATAAGGAATCTTCAGCATGTTTAGCCTTCTCATCAGTTTGTCATCACACTGTATCTTTGCTTAATGAGATGTGGCTAGATGGTGTAAAACCATTTCTAAATCTTCCTTGAGAACGCATAGTACAGTAAGACCCCGCTTAACGCTGTTTCGGTTTAGTGCTCTTTTATTTCAACCCAGGGATTCTCTGAAATTGTGCGCAGCGCTAAGTTTCCAAATAACATATCTGAAACAGTGTAGTTGTGTTTCTTGCTTGGTGGATGCATTTTTATCATTTAAAACATTTGTTGACATTATTGTAAGTTTAAATTTGTATAATACTATAACGATTAATACAGTGACAAATATTATGATCTTTAGTTTTTATCATGGGTGATAATAAAAAACAAGAAAAGAAAGCAACCAGAAAAAGCATTTCACTGGAAACTCAAATGCAAGTGATTAGAAGATTAGATTCTGGTGAACGTCAATCTCAAATTAGCGCTGCATTGATTTTGGCAACTTCAACAATAAAAACAATTCTTAAGAATAAAGAAAAAAATACTGTCATCGGCAACTGCAACTACGTCAAGCTCTGCAACTAGAATTAACCCGTTCTAGAAATAACATTATAGAGGAAATGGAAAAAACGACTGTCTATATGGATTGACGACGAAATTGAACGCAATATGCCATTAAGCCAATCTATCATAATGCCTTCTTAACAAAAAGGCAGAAAATTGGAAACCCTGAATAGACTGAATGATCTGACTGAGAATTTTATTTGTTTTTAAAAGTATATGCATTTATATTGTTTTTATTTTTATTTAAAAAAATATTATTAAATTTAATGCCTAACCATTTTTATAATAATGCACCACTTAGCGAAGCTTCATGGTCTTTCAACATTATGTATATAGGCAGCCTTTTCCGAATCCACAGAAGGAAATTTGATTCACTGTGAAGTGAATGTATCCTGCTTTTCTCACTTCTGTTTTGTATGCTTGCTATATCTGAATAAGTTTTTATTTCCTCTTGTATGTGATCCACGATTTTTTCTGTGAGTGTGGGTTGGATTTCTATGAAAGTCTTAATCAGTTTCTTTGCATAACCTTCTAAATATTCACTGTTATGGAAGTTGTTTTTCAACAGATGAATATATATAGTTAACTCATTAAGTAGAAAGATTCCTAGGGAATAATCAACATTAATAACTAATGTATGTATATCCAATCCCTGTCTACTTACAACTTTTATATTCATTAATGGTCAGTAAATAAAAAAAAAAAAAAAAAAATGTTGATATGTTTTTGAAAAAAAGAAAACACATTAACAGGCTAGCTATTCACAGTGTTTCTTGTGAGGAATAATCAAATTAAGTGATAGTTGTTAGTATAAAAATCCAACTTTCAAACATAAGAATCATGAGTAATGACAAATACAACAAAATTTATTGAAATTACATCCCAAATAAGCAACATTGCACTGGGCAATAATCATAAGAACTGCATTACAAATCTTAAAACTAATTCAAGACTGATTTACTCCCCCCTCCTCTTTTTTAATGCTATCAAAAGTTTACTCCTGCAGTGGCTAAACAAATAAATATCACATGTACTTTATTTTCGAAGTTAAATAGTAAAAAACTTCTTGTATTCTGTGGTTGGCAGTTCCTTGCAAAATTTTAAAAACCAGGAACCATAAAAATGGGGAAGTATATCAATTTTATTACTTTTATTCTATTTCTTCAATATATCTTTCTGATTTTTCCATTAACAACTTCGAATTTCATAAAAATGCCATCCACAACTTCTAATCCATTCTGTTTATCAAGGCATGTGCTTTGAAATTTGTGAACTATTTGAATAGTACTTAAGCTTGTTTATGTGTGTCGAGTTTCTGGAGAGAAATGAATCAAGACAATCAATTTAAAAATTATTATCAACTTGCAAAAAGAATTTTTCAAACTTTGTAATAATCATAGTCAGTAGTTGCATTCCAGAATGTAAGAAATTAAAAGTATAATATTAAATAGCTATGCATAAAGCTGATTCTGATGTCTCATATAGCTCATTACCAGGTTAGAGCTTGCTGTTTTTTTTTTTTTTTTTTTTTTTTTTTTTTTTTTTTTTTGGGAGGAGGGGTATTAATTTAATGATATTCTCCAATTGTGGATACATTTATGCTTAGTTAAATAATCCAGTACAGGATTACTATATCAATAAATTAATTTTATTGCAAATTAGAATGAATAAAAATTTGAAAGATCATTTAGTTCTTTCATTTATAAAAATATGGATGTAGTTTATTTGCTTTTTATGTGTATAGTGTGTCAGTCAGAGTTAACATTTTACTATTTTAAATCTTTTATTTTTTAGGGGGAAGTAGCAATGGAGAATTGATTCAGGATAAGGATCGGAAATCAGGTAGTCCAGGTGGTAGTGATTCTGAAGTTGCAAGTCAAAGAAGTTGTCGCAGAATTGCCAATCCAGTTGATTGTGGAGCTGGAAGTAGTGGTAGTGATCGTAGTGCCAATACTCATGTCACGCAAGATGGTCCAAGATTGGATTCTATACCTCCTGAACTTTCTGGTAGTTCTCAGTCTTTTCGAGCAGCTATGGGAAATCCATGTGAATTTTTTGTTAATGTCATATAGTGTTGCCTTAAAAAACAAAGTATCATTAATTTTTTAAGCTTCATAAATTTTGTTGGCATTCTTGCTATTTGTGAACTATAATATTTATTTTGTCATAGAATTTTGAAAAATGCCATGTAGTATTTTTTATCTTTTTTTATAAATCTGTATGATTTTAATAAAGTTATAGATATTTTAAATATGCATGAATTATTTTTAAATCTTTATTTTATTAATTGCTTAATATTATTGTTTGTCAGCAATAGTTTAAAATATTTTCTCAAACAAAAAGGCATATTTTTTATGGTTTTCTTAATTATTCATAATTTTTGTCTCAGTTGGTTTTATCTTATTCAGAATCTCAGTTTTGTAGTTCTGATTTGGTTTTTTTTAGGAATAATATCTTTCATTCAAGAGCTTAAATGTTTAGCATAAATTAAGTGTATTCATAAATTAAATGTAAAACATACAAACTTCCAAACACAACCTTTTTTTCTCTCAAAGTTAATATTTGTAGGTTGGTTGAATGACTGCATTTAAGCATATCAGTATTGTTTGATAGAAATGCTGCATTTTATCCTTTGCAGTGATATTATGGGGCAACACAAATATTAACTTTTGTTGTTTTCATAGTTGTAATTCAAATTCTATTTGAGAAATGTGCAAAAGTGGTCATCTGAAGATTTAATAATGTATGCATTATAAGCCATTTGTAATGAAATTGCATCGTATCTGTATTTCGCATGGTCATATTATATTGACTGTGCTTGAGCTGAATTTGACTTTTCTATTCTAGAGTTCATAGTTCTTAACCGCCATATTTGTCAGTGTATTGTCATCTGACATTGTTGAAAGCATTGTAGATCATTAAATTGTAATTTAAAGCTTAGATACAGAGTTTAAATTTTCTAATTTGTAAATTTCTTTTATTTATTATATTAAAAAATTTTATTTTAAAGTACATTCAGTTTAAATTTTATAACTGGCCACTTCACTGGAATTCTGTTAAATTGAAAAATATTGGCAGAAGTTTTCTCATCTTTATCTGGAAGTATTTTAATATTTTTTTTTTCCTTTTTAACATTTTGATCATTTAATTGCTTTAGTATTAGAAGGTGTCTTTTTAGATGTAGAAAGTATTTAACTTTTACTAATTATCTTAGTTGTTGATTATGTAAAATCTTAGTAAATATTTATAATTTTTAAATACTGATGTATAATGATTTATGAAAGTCCCTTGCATGATATGGTTATGTAATAGAATGATATGTTTCTTTTTGTTATACTGTATCTCGTTTGTAAAATTTACTGTTGCATTCTAAATTGAAATCTTCCCAAAGCAGTTTTCTTCTCCAGAAGATTTAAAAATACCAACCATTCGGGAGAAATAGTTATCAAAATTGAAAGCAGTTAGAATATTTATGTGACAGCACTTCAACAAAATTTTATGAATATTGAGATAGATCAAGGTAAAAGAAAATTGAAGGAAAAGTAGCTAGGCCAGATGCAGAACCTTTAGGAACTACATCATTGTATGTTAGAAAAAAATTGCCATTAAACATTGATTGTTTTTATCAGGTCTTGAGGGGAAAATATAATTTCTTTGAAAAAAAATCTGAGCAATTCTTTATAAATATTCTTTAATCTTCCTGTACACACACACACACACACTTCATATTTTAATCTTAAAATTATTAACTAACTATTAGTTGCAAATAAATTCATGTATAAGTTTATTTTCAGTTAAGACTTTTAGTAAAATTTAATTAAGAAGCTTAGCTATGTACTTGTCTAACACTTCTTAAATGATCTGTGACATTTCAAATGTTTCAACTGTCAAAAGTAAAATTTTTGTCAGATCATAAGATTAAGACCATTTGTTTAGCTGTGAAAAATTATAAAAATATCAAAAATGATAAAAATATCACAGTTTTGCTATAGTCATAATGGTTTTTCCTTTATTTTTAGGTAAAAGCATTTGAAGAATATAAATAAATGTAATACTGTATAAATAAACCACTATTTCATTAACAATATAGTTGCATTAAAACGTGAAGAATATTTCTAATGTGATGATAATTAATATATCATTGATTAAGTAATTTATTAATTTCCAGTACCATTGTTCATCATTTTTTTATCGCAAAGTCTGTCATGATCATTTTTAACTAATTATTTTACAAAGAGGAAATAGCTGTAGAAAATAAAAGAAATGCAGGAGGATAATAAAAGCATGCAGGATAATCTTGACTGAGCTTTCTACTTTTTTAAGGGAGCTGAAAAAAGTGTTGAATTTTGTCCTGAAATAATTTTAAAAATTAATATATTGTGAACATGCTAGTATGAGTGAATTATAGTTTCGAGGAATTAGGATGAAATTCAGTTGTAAATAAATATGTGTTTAAAATTAGACACTAAAAGTTTGTCTAAGGCATTTTGAGTTTATTTCACCCTCAAACAAAGAATATGTTTTATGGAGTGCAAAATGAGCCTCTTTACATCTGTTATTGCAACACTTTACATACATATGCAAAGAGATACTAGACATTTCAGGCTTCTGAAAACAAAGTCATTGTTATATTGTTCATTACAGTTGTACATTATGGGCACAAAATGAAAAGTTGACTTTGGATTAGATGAATATGTATAGCATCTGGTTAACTGGAATAATAATGAATTCATTCTTAGTTATATATTGCTATATCACTTTTTGTATTGCAGCTTTTTAGAAATTTAGCTTTATAAGTTTATTGGAATATTTTTACTAAGGTAAAAGCATTTTATAAAAAAACATTTTTCATTTATTGAATGTACCAGTAAAATAAATGCAATAAGTTCTACTTTCATATTACTGTATTTAATTTTTTAGGCTTATAATATATACAGTTATGATTTTCTTTTCTTCATAGTAAAATATTGTCCTGATTTGTGCATTAATCATTTACCAGGAAATGTGTGTAAATTTTTCTATAAAAATAAAGTAACATAGAAAATTATAAATTTTTATATGCAAACCTTTTTTTTCATGCTGCATAACATAGTTGAGGATGATATCATGGAATACCGCTTCTCTGACAAGGGCATTGTGTAACTATCAAGTCTTCAACCATGAACATTTTTGATAGGAGTTCCAAGATCCAAGTATCTGCGTGTACAGTTTAAACAGAATTTTTTTAATTATGATTCCATGATTTTTATTGTCTATTTTATATACTCTATGCATATTTATTCATTTATTGTGAACAATTTTGCAATATGTGATGTGATAAAAATTGAATTTAGAAGGAGGGAATGTTTATCATCAAGTAATTCAAGAATACTTAGTTAAATTAATATGTCTAAAGCATTTAACTTTTTAAAATTCAGGGCTCAAAATTTGACTGTTCATATATGTAGCGTATTTAATGAGCATCTGGATTGTGTTTTACTTAAAGTAAATTTTGTTACCTTTCTTTGTAAACCTTAATAATAATCATTTATTAAAACTTATGAGTTTCTCTTAGTTTATAGATTCTGAATCAATATGTATAATAATGAATATGAAATTTTATATTAGGACATTGTATATTAAAGCTTTTTTAATGCAAATTTCCAAATTTCTGTCATCAATAAAAAGTACCAGCCCTTGATCTTTGAATTGTCACTGTGATTGTTTTTTAATTAATTGAATTAAAAAAAAATCTTTTCATTTAATTTTTTAACTTTTATCTTTTGGAATAGAAATTTGCATGTACTAATATTGTTTAAAATTTTAATGGAATATGTCAAATTTGCCTTGAATGTTATTTCTTCTTAATAAAATCTGTAGGGTAGGTTAAAAAATGAGCTTATCTAAGTGCATATCTATTTATTATTTTAAGGAAATATTCAAGGGCAATTCTAAAATTTTAATGTATGAAATTTGTTTCATTGAAGTTTGTTTGATATATACATGTCAATTAAAACTCATAAAATGTGGACAAGGGCTTTATAATTTTAAAGTGAGGGGGGAAAAAAGAGTTGAAACCTTTTATATATTAAACCAGTCATGTGTAATTAAAAATTTCCTAAACAGATGTACTGTTTATAGTATTGAAATGTATTTTCATCATCAGGAATTTCTTTATATATCTTCCTAAAAACCTAAAGTGAATTTTTCGTGCTCCTTTTTTCAAATTTTATTAATTATTGTTTATTATTTCTAGATTTTAATAAGAGAATAGTTTACTGATTTAATAATTTCAGTAAGAGAATAGTTTACTGAAAAAATTACTGACTTTAAAAAGTTGTATTATCTGAAATTAAAGCAGTAAACTAAGCCAGTTTTGAAGTTTAATTCAAATGTGAAATATGAATTTAATATTATATTTTATCTAGTCATGAAATAAAGACTGGTTCTGCCCAATTAAATTACAGATGGTAATGATTTTGGAAGTAGTTGGCAAAAGTTGAACTTTACTGTCCCCTGATCAATGCAGATATATTTTCCAAAGACATCTGTGCAATTTAAATGTTTTCTAGGGGCACTGTATATATTCATACACAATTTTTTTTCAAATGCCAATCTTGCATTATTGTGTTCTGTTTGGAGATGGTATTTGAGTTTGCATAAAATACTGTGTGTGTCTTGTCTGTGTTTACATTTATTTGAAAAATTAATACTTTTTATAAAGCCCAATATACTTTGTTGCTTTTTAAGGAAAACCTGTAGGTATATGTATCTTGGAAAAAAGAAGGCATTTATATAAATAAAACATTCAAAAGTACTTGCTTTATTCATTTGCATTATATCAAACATTGATTTTTTAAAAATTATTTTCTTAAATTAAGTATATGCTACAACAGTATTGATATTAATCAGTTTGTGGCAATAATTTTGAAGACAATCCCAAGATGGGGAGAGCTGGAATTTATTTATATATTATGCTAAACTTTTTAGTGCTGGGGGGGAGTGTTTGGATGGTGAGAAATTAACATTGCTTCCAATTTTCATTCAAACAAGTTGGTAGCATGCCATATGAGTAATTGGAGCTTCGAAATACTCTTTTTTTTTTCCCCAGGGGGGGGGGAATCTGTTATAAGCCATGTATGTGATGCACAATAAAGACATATTTAAAATAAGGAAAAAAATTATTTCAAAAACATAAAAGCATTATTTCAAGTTCAGAGATAAAGTTGGAAGATAACAATAAATTTTAAAAAAATAATTAATAAAATAATTAAACATAAAATTTTTACGTCAAAAGATAAGTTTTGAATTGAATAATTTAGTTATGCTTGTATAATAATTTTCCATAAGCAAAGAATGTCTTTTGTGCAGAAAGTCCTGTAGTAAATGCAGAATTGCATTACATGTCCTTTTCCATGCTACTGTCACTGCTTCTCATATACATTTTAATTTGCACAAGAGTTCTTGAATCCTCACTTAAAATAGGTAATTTAATTTGAATGGTTATGCCTTTTTCCAACACTATATTGCCAAAAAAAAAAAAAACAAAAAAAAAAAAAAAAAAAAAAAATGAAGATGATACTAATGCATTGAAATCTTTGCCTACCCATATACTTTGAGAAACAATTTATTAGAATAGTCTGTAGTCTGCTTTTATTCCGATAATTAAACTATTTTCGGATGTGATAGTGCTTATATGCGTCGACAAGCCCAAAATTTCAGAAATGATTAGTTCTTTCTAGCTGTTTCTTGAGACTTTTTCAGCATACTTATTTCATTCATAATCATGAGGGAGGAAGCACTGAATAATGACTCGAAGAAATTTTGTGGACACTTCATTTTGGTAACTTTTAGATCTGCATTTCCCTCAAAAACAATTTTTTCAAAATCTTGTGTCATGTCTTTCCTTATGTTCAATTTCGCTTTTATCATAATTTCTGTAATCTCTTCTTTTTACTTACCATGTCTTTGATGGAAGAAATCATCATTTTTCATCATCACTGTTAAGTTCTTGCTTTTTAAATTACCCTGATCATAGCTTGCTCTATTAGGGTCTATCTTAAAATTATGAATTTTAACTTTTACACGTATCTAGGCTTTATTACAGAAGGCTCTAATCTGCATGGTTACTTGTTCGTTACTTAATGGAGGTTCATGATCATCACATACACAGTGTGTAACTTTCTGGCAAGAAAATGCGTCATACAAACAATAATGTTACCAGTTTTTAATGAGTTAAGTGTAGCTAATGACCTGCATCTTTTTTCAGCTGATTTAGTAATAAAATTTAAGTAGTGATAAAAAATGTCCTTATTTTTAAAAGAATCCTCTTATGGGTAGAGTGCCTCTTTTTTTTTTTTTTTTAATTCATCCTTTTCGAGCTATTGTAAAAACAAAATCATTATTAGATTTATTACAGTTTTTGTTTCTGAAATATAATAAGCTTTGTTTAATGAATAAAACTAGCCTGTTTATAGAAATGCTCAGTATATAATCTTTTATACCCTGCATTTGCCAAACAACTTTTAACATTTCATGTTTTCTTTTTGAACTGATTTTGTTCATGGAAGATGTGTTGTATTGTAATATATTTTTGCAAATGCTGCTCTCTTATTTTAATAAAAAAATGTTTCGAAAATATACATTGCCCTCCAATAGTTAAGGAACAGCATGTTTTTTTTTTTGTGTCTGATTTGAGAATAAAGAAATATAGAAAACAAAAATTTAGAGGCCATGTTCACTAAACAGTTCTTAAATGAATGCGACATAGAATCTTTCTTAAGTTCAACACAAGTATGAATCAACAAAAAATTTCACTCTTGGCAGAGAAGTCCAGTTTTGGAGAAACAGTATATCACAGTTTTTTGAGGGAAAATGTGTTGGTAATATTATAAAAATGGGTTCTAATAAGGAATGTGTCCACCCCTAGCTGCAATACGTTGGCGGCAGTGACATTCCATGCTGTCAATTAAGTTGTCAATCAGTCATGGAAAGCAATGAGCAGACAATGGAGTAATCCTTGTTCAAGCTTACCTAACGACCTTGGAGGAGGACTTAAAGCAGCAACCTGTCTCACAAGGTAGTCACAAAGATGCTGTGTCAGATTCAGGTCAGGGGATTGAGCTGGCCATTCCATCTGCTCCAAACCATGACCCTCAAGATATTCTTCACATTGTCATCCATCAGAAGAAATCCAGGACCAATAGCAGGTGCATATGGGCGATCATATTGATCAAGGATTTCGTCTTGATCTCGCACAGATCAAAGTTCCTCCATGGAACACATGCAGGTCATTGCGACTACAGAGAGAGATCCCAGCCCAAAACATTATTCCACTACCTATGTAACTGTGTCTTTCTACAGTGTGGGATTGATTGTATCTGGTTCATTTGTTCCCTTCAGATCAGCTGGCAACCTGAATCACTCTCCAATGTGACCTGGACTCTTCTGGGAAGAGAACAGATACCCATTGTTGCCTGTTCCAAAAGACATGTTCTCCTGCCTAATATAAATGGGCACCTCTGTGTCCTCAGGTCAAGGGGATACGAACAGCTGGTAGTCTTGTGTACACACCTGTATTGTGCAGACGTCAGCGCACTATAGTAGCTGATATTTTTATGCCTGTTAGCACTAAATGATCTGCCATGAGATAAGGTAGAGTACTATTTCTCCTCCTTCGGTCCGAAAGAGCTAAATAACTGTCTCTGCGGGTGTTGTAACTCTAGGTCTGCCTGGAACATGTCTTCTAGACATAGAATCCTCGGATTCAAACTGATTCCATAGTCAGTGGACCATATGACGAGAGACATTTAGATGTCTAGCAGCATCAGTTTGTGACATCCCCATTTTCATCCATTCGATTGCCTGCCAACTCGATGAATTGAGCAAACGACTTCTCTGGGACATTTGTAAACTCTCATGGGTATTGTAAACGAAACTGCTAATAACAACTGAAGATCAACACTTGTAAACGAAACTTTCAATTTTTTCCTTTTTCCTCCAACTTCTATATAAAGTATTCATTTCTAATAAAATAAAAAAGGTGGTAGCTGTTGTTTTTGCATATATTTTCTTAAACTTTGCTACTATCATGCATATAAACTGTGAATTTAAATGTTACTGAAATTTTTATAAGGGTGAGCTTTGAAAAAAACGTGCTGTTCCTTAACTTTTGGGATTGGTATTGGATTACTCTTTTGAGCTGTTTCAAATTACCAATTTGATTTTCATTTTATGATTTTGCATATTATAAAGCAAATTATTGTGTCGTTATAATGTAAATGAAAATCTAATTTTGAATCTTATGTTAATTTAATTAATTTATTTATTATTTGATAATACATGAAGTGATGAGTATTCTAGTTTGTCAAGTTAAGGAAAGTTTAACAAATTTGGAATTATTTTTGTTGGATGATACAAAGGATTGCATTCCTTTCTCTTAACCCTTATGTCAATATAGTTTTCTCTTTTCACTTAAATACATAAAAGTACTCACAAATAAACTGTGCCAGTTGTGAAAGATTAACACTTTCATTATATTAATGTTTACTGCTATATATCTTATAATCCAGAGATTATAATTTAATCAAATTATTATCTAGCATACTGTGCAGCTTTAATGATACATATTAATTTTGAAAGTTCTTAACTTTTATATATATTTGAAAATAACTTAGTGTAAAATTTGAGTGATGTAGTATATGAGTTTAAAATCATCATATTTATTTTAATTTCACAAGCATTATTGAACTTAACAGACATGATAAAAAAGAGACTCAAAATAGTCCTCTTCCCCCCCCTCCTTAATCATTACTAAATAAAAATATCCATTAAACAGGAAACTGAAGATTATTTTGCTTATTTGCACAAGAGCTGATGTGAAAGTGTATGTCAGATTTAGTTCTTTTACTAATAAGACAATATGCATTGAGTTACATTTCATGAGTAGAGCATTATGCAGTACTATTAGGAGGAATAGTGGATTGTACCATTAGCACTTAAGGACAATAATATGCTCTGACCATTATCTGATGGTATATCTATACCTAGAACCTTTATTTATATCATTAAAGTTTTTTTTTTTTTTTTTTTGAATGGCGGCTATTTTCGAACTATTTTTGTCTTTTTTCTACATTTGCCACTCGTAAGGCTGAAAGTGGTGGCCATTTTGTTGAGGAGGCACCTAATAGGCAGCCACCATTATCTCCTGTGAAGCAATGGACAGTTACAACCATGCCTTCTCCGGGATTTGAACCTGGGCCCTTCGGTATCATAGGCGGCTCCCCTAACCACTGTACCATTGAGGCAGCTATATCATTAAAGTACCTTCCCTGAAGAATCCTTGATTGGCTGTGGTAATGGAAGGCCAGAGGTTGCCATATTGGAACTTTAAGGATTATGTGATAAGCAGTTATCCAAAAACATAACTATGCTGCCAAATAAATAAAGTTATGATGTAATTGCATTACATTCAGCTGATTTTGCGGTCTTTCTAAATGACTTTCCATTCTTTCTGGAGTAGTACAGTATAGCAGGTGCAGTTAATTGTTGTTCAATATTTGAATAAATCGATTTGGGGCATCTCGGTTTGATGACAAATTATTGTAGTGCCATATAAATTTACACTTGTTAAGTTTATGAATGTGCATGTGCTAAACTTAAAATGTTTAAATTTACAAAAGATAAAATTTTATGGTACTATATTCTTTGCTGATTTACTAAACAAAATTAAAGAATTAACATTTATAATTTTTTTTAAATTAGATTTTGTTGAATTGGTATCTAGATCCATTAAGTAGTATCACTTTACTGAAATTAAGATTATGTTACTACCTATTTATTAAAAGCACTAAATCGAAAATAGGGGAAAACCTGCTCATTTATTAAAAGTTACAACAGAATATATACACTTATCCCTCCTTGAAACGTATTTTCTCTTATAAGTAAAGATACTGGAACTTAGCTGAACAAAAGTTTTGATCCGTCAAGTTAGAAATAATAATTGAAACAGAGAGCTCATTCATCACGAAATGGCATCTGCGTTAACTGCTTAGTTTAAAAAAAAAAAAAAAAAAAAAAAAAAGAATGTATTAAGAACGAAAGCTTCGTCGAAGCAGGGGTGGCTTTCTCAGTCCGCAGAGGGAAACGAGCTATCCATCTAGAGCCTTAATATCATTTTGCACACGCACAAACAGCTTAACTATTGGATTGTTTATTTTGAGGAACAAAAATCTACGAAAATCCGAGTTTAAATTATCGCGAAAAGTTTTGTTAAAGAACGAAATTTGCAAGTTCTTTAATTTGGTACCGTATTCCTCAATTTCCTCTGCACCAGGTTATTTGACTGAGAATTTGTCTGTTCGTGACATATAGCGCCGCATTAGTCGAACTGGTTTACATTACGTCTATGAAAGCTTTCTTTCTCTACATACATATTTTTATTATGTATGTAATACGGCTGGATATTATTATTATTAAACCCTCCTTCTAGTTTTGTAAAAGATGGAAGGAACGTCTGAACAACTTGATATTTCTCAAGAGCAAAATAAAAGGAGAGGAAAGAGTATGAGTGTCGGAATTTGGTTTAAATAAAAATGAAGATACCCAGAAAAAAGGAAATTAATTTGAATCTCAAAGAAGAAAGATTCCTACAGCATCCATACGACTCACATCGACTAAAACCTGAAAGAATGAAACCAAAATGCATATTTTATGAAGACAAAATTCTGGCTATTGAGTCAGAATGTGTCGCATGTTTTTTAAAATGTCTCATTTGTCGTAAAACACATGTTTTCTGAATGTGTGATCAAATATAAGAAGTCTAGTCGGAAGAAGAAATTTCTCCCGAAAAAGATTGTTTTGCCAAATAGAAGTTCAAATTCAAGGTAATCTTTCAGATTTTCAAGGCCAGCTTTATCTCAGGTGATTAAGGGAGAATACTTGGTGTGCTGTTTGATACTGGCACACCAAGGTCATATATTTTTAAGGTATGCTGCAGGAGAGATAAAATATCCTGTAAGTCATCAAGAAACGATTAGACACTCATTGTTTAGCCGTGATTCTATTAAGAAAGAGAAGTATAACAGTTGCAAAATAAAGCAAGTAAATGGGAATTTCACTTTCAATTTTGAAGTCTTCGATTAATAAAAGTGTATTACCAATAAGTAAAGGCCTTTGGTTGGAGATCTGAAAGATGTAAGTATTGTTTAAACTGGTAGTAACACCTCTGTTAATCTGTTTAATTTTCGAGCAGATATTGGTAGGATTTTGACGGGCGAAAGGAAAATATTATCTTCAGGTTTCGTTGCATTCAAAACCCATTTCGGATGGCTGTTAATGGATAAAGTTCTACAAGTGGATTCTATATGATAAACTTTGCAATGGCTATAACATCACTATTTGGGAAGGAAATGAGAATTTCTGGCGGTTAGATGTCATTGAAATCAAGGAACACACAGAGACGACATTAAAATTAGAGCTAAAAATAGATTAAAGTTATAGAAACTTCCTAGGAACAGTAAAATTTAATCAAGATAATCGCCATGAAGTTAGTTGGCCATGGGCTGATGATAGTTCTTCTTTGCCGAATAACTTCAGCCTTGCCCATAAAAGACTTCAGATAGAGACTGTTTAAGTTTAGATCTTCATGTTGAGGCTATTTAAGGCAAAATATAAAAATTGTACAATATCTTGAATTTAATGGATTGTATTCCATATGAATCTATCTTACTGGGAAAGAGATACAATCCTTCTGTGCTTGTAACTTAGTAATTTGTGTTTCCTGTGATCCTTTTGCCTTCAAAGTTGTAAAGATGTATACTGTATGTTGCACTAAGCCCAATTTTGAAATACATACCACTTCTAATGGTTGCCCTAGTAGGGAAGCAAATGCGGATAAACCTAATAAAACCAGTGATGTACATAACCAGACTTCACTGCCACCGCTTAACAGAGCAGATAAAACAAAAAATAGAAATGCCCAAATGAAAAATTCCACAAATAACATCTCTACAGCTTTTGTAGATTTTATGAAGAACATTCGCGAAATGAGTAACATTTTCAGTGACTATTACGTATTTGATATAAATATAATAATCATTGGCCGCATGAATGAGATTCTTACACTTCTATTGACAAAATTTTTGTTCTATTTATCATTCTGGAGGACATATTTAGAGGAAATTTATCTGGTGTAAATGGAAACTAAGTAAGTGTGATGTTGCGCTGAGAATTTAATATTTTCTATCAGCATTTAATTTCAATCTGTGGGAAATTTGCTAGCTATGTATGTACTCGTAGCTTATGTATCTGTAGTTTTTGTTTGTATGTGTGATTTTTTTTTTTTTTTAGTTTTATTATATGCCTTATATATTTTCGTAACTGCCTTTTAGATGCCATGCTTCGTATTCTCACGTCTTTAAAGTATTGTATTATTATAGAAACATTTTGTATTTCTTGAGGGAAAAGTTAAAATTAGTGCTTCCGTCTCATTTTCCGTTCTTAACTCTGCTTTGAACTTCATTGTAATTTAACTTATTCCTAACGTGTAACTTGTAACATGATGGTACAAAGGGTGTGAGCATTGCTGCATTTACCCATAGTTTTATTCGTATTAATTGCTCTATTCGTATTACTTGCTCTATTATGTGATATAACAATAGCGATCAGTACTGATATCTAACTGAATTGCGATCAGATGATAGGTTATCTAAATTCATGGTTTTAGTTGAAACCTGACAAGGTAAAACTCAAAGATGGTAAAACTGAAGAACTCGAAAGAAAAAAGTTTGGTTGATCCAAAATTTAACTAAAAAACATAATTATTAATTTCGAATTCTGCATTTTAGTATTCAGTTCAGTTTGTTGGAATTTGGATGGTTGAATTTATTTTCGAAATTTTGCAATTTTGTTTTTTAAACTTCATTTACAAAGTGAATACAAATCAATTTTTTTTTTTAGCCATGCTATTGCTAAGCCGCGTTTAATATGCTTCTTTCATTCTTCTTTTGGTGGGTAGTTCAACTACAACTGCTGCTAAAGTTTACATTAGTTGATTAATGGTAGTTTAGTGACGTGTTGATACCGGCCGAAAATTTAATGCATTGACATAAATATTGCTTGTAGATCAGATTTTAATGCATTGAAATAAAGCAGTTCTGTATGTTAAACAAACTTTGATTATGGCTAGTTTAACGAAAAATAGACGAACTACTTTAGAACGTATTGAGAAATTTATATCTCCTTTATATTTTACTGACATCAATATTTACGGTCGACAGTATCCGCAGAAAACAAGTTTGCCGACTTTGCTGCATTTTGATTCAAATGGCAGAGTTCCATTCAAAGAAGCTATGGAGATTGGTAATTTCACACCCACTAAAGTGGGATCATCATTTGGACCAACATGGACCACTCATTGGTTTAAGGTTCGTGTATTTTGAACCGGCTTTTTGTCTTTTTATAATAATGTTTCGTGTTATGGAAGAATAAGTAGCATTATACAGTTAATAATAAAGTTTTAAACCACCGTCTTATTGCTCTGCGATTAAAATAATATTAACTCTATACTAATAAAATATATTTTCATGGTTGTACGAAAATGTTTGTCATGATAATAAAAAAAAGGTACTATCTGAACGCATAATCTGATGTCATCATATGCTAAGCTGAAAAATTATTTCCTATTTTATCTTTATTGAAATAAAAGTTCTTCTTTGATATATATTTTGGTTGATCTTTACATTACGGTAACTTGGCGAAAATTTGGCGACCAACTTCCCTACAGCAACCCTCTATTTTTTTTTCCCCCGCCGCCATTTGTCTTCACGAAGTAAAGACATGTTTCTTTTCTTCTTATCTACTGAACACTTCTTCCAACAATCTACTAGCCGAATTACACTTATGCTAGAAATTTTATCAAACAAAACTGCTTAATCATGACAAATATTCACTGCAAAATTCGGAAAAAGTGCACAATACCATACACCTTACGCGTTTTTCAAAATAACACATACACATAAACCATGTACACGCCGACTTATTTTTACTTAAAAAAACATCCCAGAATTGCACAAAAATGGCATTGCGCACACTCTTCACTATATCCATGTACACTGCTTTTTTCTCATAAATTCGAAAAATTTCACGAAAATACATGACAATTTTCTCAATCTTTAAACCCGGTAAAAAGAACATATATGAAATTACCTGATCGCGAAAAAGTATTTACCCTTTACAAATATGAACATTTCCACATATAAAATAAATAAAATATCCAAAAACTTTTACCTCTAAATCATCTATTACATTATACACGTCACCAACGAATTCATACATGAAGCATTACAAATATTTATTATCGAATATTTAAATTCTTTCCATGCACATTTATTTCAACTTAAATATACACCAAATTCCTACAAGTATAAAATTCACAAAATAACTATAATTTCATTAAAATATAATTAAATTCAAAAACACCACTTAAAATATACATGAGCACATACATTCAATTAATAAAAATTACCTTACAATCCTAATTACTTTAAACTAAATCATTGCTAATAACAATTTTCCCAATAATACCAAATTCCTTTCCACCTTACATTTCCAACAATGCATAAAAATAATTAAAATACTAACTTACCTAATCTCCTTCAGAATCTTCATTACGTGGCGGATACACTTTTCTTCATTCTCTTTCAGAATCTTTAAAATCATACTTATCTCTCAAAGCAAGATACCACGTAAAATAAATAACATAATAAAACATGTTTATTTCTCTCTCACACAACCTTAAAAAACATTTCTTACTATCCTTTTCAATACCACTAAATACCCATTTCGAATTCACTTTACTTACGGCCATGGGATCCAAAAATTCACAAACACTATTTCACACAACACAGAATAAAGCCAAATACAAAATTCCCAGATTTTTCCCCATTAAAGAACAGTAATTCGTCCATTAAAATCACATGACATATCCCATGATCTCTTCCGATTAAAGAACCGTAATTCGTCCATTAATATCACATGACATATCCCATGATCTCTCATTTCCCCCACACAAAATAATGCGTAATCGGAACTCAGTACTGCTCACATTATTACCAAAGTCCCAGGTAGTAACCTTTATCGCCTCCAAAATGTCGCCAAACTACCAGTTACCGTAATGTAAAGATCAACCGAAATATTCCACAATTTTACCAATTTGAGTTATTTCTATTATTAAACTTTCTATTTCTATGTAGATCTGCATGTATGTGTTTATGTATTTATGCGTTATACTTCTCACTGCAGAAAAACTGTGGCAACTAGAGCCATCAAATTTTCAATACATGTAGTTCTTCATCCAAATTTTGAATTTTTAAAAATCTAGGTTGATCTTTACAATATGGTCACTGGTAGTTTGGCGACATTTTGGAGGCGATAAAGGTTACTACCTGGGACTTTGGTAATAATGTGAGCAGTACTCAGTTCCGATTACGCATTATTTTGTGTGGGGGAAATGAGAGATCATGGGATATGTCATGTGATATTAATGGACGAATTACGGTTCTTTAATCGGAAAAGGGGGGAAATTGGACAAGTATCTGTGGATGTATATTATTTTGTATTAAGCTTCATTGTGTGTTGTGTGAAGTAGGGTTGAATTTTGGGATTGTATGGCGCTGTCTAAAGTGAATTGTAGATGTGATAAAGAGAATTTTTTTTTTTTACCAATTCTATCAAATTCGGAAAAAAAATCATTCAGTAATTTTATTGAATCCATAATAAAAGTGTATCCACCATGTAAGGAAGATTCGGAAGAAGATTAGGTTAGTTAGACTTCGTTAAGAATGTGAGTAGTATTCAGTTCTGATTACGCATTATTTTGTGTGAGGGAAATGAGAGATCATGGGATATGTCATGTGATATTAATGGACGAATTACTGTTCTTTAATCGGGAAAAAATCTGGCAATTTTGTATTTGGCTTTATTCTGTGTTGTGTGAAATAGTGTTTGTGAATTTTTTGGATCCCATGGCCGTAAATAAAGTGAATTCGAAATGGGTATTTAGTGGTATTGAAAAGGATAGTAATAAATGTTTTTTTAAGGTTGTGCGAGAGAGAAATAAAGATGTTTTATTATGTTATTTATTTTACCTGGTATCTTGCTTTGAAGATAAGTATGATTTTAAAGATTCTGAAACAGAAGGAAGAAAAGTGTATCCACCACGTAATCAAGATTCTGAAGAAGATTAGGTAAGTTAGTATTTTTAATTATTTGAGGATATTATTTTTATGCATTGTTGTAAATGTAAGGTGGAAAGGAATTTGGTATTATTGGGAAAATTGTTATTAGCAATGATTTAGTTTAAAGTAATTAGGATTGTAAGGTAATTTTTATTAATTTAATGTATGTGCTCATTTATATTTTAAGTAGTGTTTTTGAATTTAATTATATTTTAATGAAATGATAGTTATTTTGTGAATTTTATTGTTTGTAGGAATTTGGTATACGTTTAAGTTGAAATAAACGTGCATGGAAATAATTTAAATATTTAATATTAAGTATTTGTAATGCTTGAGGTATGAATTCGTTTGGTGACGTGTATAATGTAATAGATGATTTAGAGGTAAAAGTTTTTTGGATATTCTATTTATTTTATATGTGGAAATGTTGATATTTGTAAAGGGTAAATACTTTTTCGCGGATCATGTAATTTCATATATGTTCTTTTTACCGGGTTTAAAGATTGAAAATTGTCATGTATTTTCGTGAAATTTTTTTTAATTTATGAGAAAAAAGCAGTGTACATGGATATAGTGAAGAGTGTGCGCAATGCCATTTTTGTGCAATTCTGGGATTTTTTTTAAGTAAAAATAAGTCGGCGTGTACATGGTTTATGTGTATGTGTTATTTTGAATTTGAAAATGCGTAAGGAGGATGGTATTGTGCAGTTTTTTTTTCCTAATTTTGCAGTGAATATTTGTCATGATTAAGCAGTTTTGTTTGATAAAATTTCTAGCATAAGTGTAATTCGGCTAGTAGATTGTTGGAAGAAGTGTTCAGGAGATAAAAAGAAAAGAAACATGTCTTTACTTTGTGAAGACAAAATGGCGGCGGGGAAAAAAAAATAGAGGGTTGCTGTAGGAGAGTTGGTCGCCAAATTTTCGCCAAAAAATCGCTAAGTTACCATAATGTAAAGATCAACCTATATTTTTAATCAATATCATAATAAGTTTTTATTGATTTTTTTACTTTTGTTTATTTATTTTCTTAGTTATGAATTGTATGAAGAATAATGCATGTCAATATCAAATTGTCATGCGAAACCTTGCATGACAATTTGTTGATAGCTTATCCAAACTATCATCAACTATCAACAATTGCATGTCAAAAACCTTCTTTTGTGTAATGTTAAGTTAGAATAGCATAGTCAATGAAATCGACCAAATTATCTGTGAAACCTTGTACTAACAGAGCTATGACATTAAAAAAAAAAAAAAAATAATATTAACTTCAGCAGTGATGTTTTAAAAAACTTGAAAATGCTATAGTAATGGATCCATCTTTCATAATTTAATCTCTTATCTATTAGATAGTGGGTAAGACTGCTGAACACTGGAAGCTCAATTTATATTTGATCCAAGGTGAATGGGCTGTCTGCATGATTGGTTTTCATGTATAATATAATATGAATAGAAGCCAGTTTTCTATAGAAAGTCTCTCTGAAGGCATCTCTTTTTTTTTTTTTAGGCAGATTGTCCTCATGTGCTTATTTAAATAACCTTAAATTAAATTTGTTGTTGTGTGACTAATCTCGCTTGTCTGATATCAAAGCAAGATCACAAAACTCATCCTGACAAGGAGACAAGATTGTGTCTGTTACCATTATTACTATTAGTGTTATTCACACTTCAAACTAATTATTGAAGGTAAAACAAAAATGCTTACCTTGTTCCAAATGGGTTAAGCAAAGGCCACTGGTTGAATGTTCCATCTCATGCAGTCTTTTGAGGGGTATATTCATAAAATGATGAATGCATTATTTACACAAACACATTTTAATAATATTGCAAAACAGGAACTACTCTGATATGCGGCAAATTTCTCGCCAAAAATATTTGGCGAGAAACTGCACGCTGCCATATTGCTATCTAAATTTTTTGTCTACATTTCGAACTTTAAGCCTAAAATGTCTCCAAAAACACGGTTTTCGTGAATGCAAAAACCACGTTTTGAACACACAATTTAAGCTAAAAATCCGAATCAAAAACAAAAAATTTAGATAGCAAAACCGTGAAGTTTCTAACCAAAATTATTGACAAGAGTCCATGTACACAGCGATATGTTTTAACTTAAAAAAAAACATCTACGAATGGCACCATCTAGGCAACAAATGAATTTACGAACTACACACACTTCGCTTTAATAAATT